GGGTGCGTGTGCTCGTCAGACAGACAGAGAGAGACAGAAAGCGAGAAATCACCCCCCAGAGGGGATGGCCACGCCGCAATCCCCTCTCTTCCATTCCCCTCTCGGCGGGATCTTGAGTATGCACGCACATGTGCCCGGCATGAGTTTAAGCCACCGGGTCCGGGATGCGAACCGCGGTCGACTACATGGGAGTCCAGCGACATAGCCATTATGCTAACTGCTGGTCCCCCAAGAAAATATTTTTCAACATATAAAGCACTTTAAATTGAAATAGATTTTATATGCAATATTATATTTTACTCATAAATTCATATTTGCCAAAATAGAGTCATTTCTATCATTTTAGGAATATGTTTTGTCAATGTTCGTAATTTTTTTAATATTAAGTTGACATACATATTGCATGTTAGTTCCTTTGTAAAAAACATTTTAACCTACAACTTAAGGTTGTAAATGGGTTGTCAATTGTCTCTTATTAACGCTTGGTAGACTCTGTGAGTTCTGCTCCAAATTCCAGTGAATTTAGCACTGATGAGAACTTGAAGACTGGGACAATTTTAGATGCTTGTCAATCTTTCCCCATAACCTACTGTAGTTATGGGGAAAACTACTTCAGATCAATCATTGTCAGCCCTATAACAAAGATGTTTGAATCGACAGTATTTTTGAGTAGCCTAGGAATTCTGAAGTTGGTTAGAAACCTGAATTTTAGGCCCAAGCTTTCTGCATAGGCCTCTTGGAAACTTTACTGCCTGGTGTTGGCTCTGTAAACCAAATGTGCATAAAATTCATAAAATGTACCCAAATTCTGACTGGGTTATAGCCAATGATGCCAACCAATGAAGCTTCATTCAGTTATGTATCTCAGACAACAGATAAACATATACATAAACAATACAGATAAACTTGGTCCATCAGAAAGTTAATTGTTTAGGGGCCAGCAGGTGGTGTAGTGGTTAAGGCATTGGACTCCCACATGGCCGACCATAGTCTGAGTCCAGGACCTGGCAGTTTGAAAATTACACCGGGCACATTTGCATGTGTGCTCAAGATCCTGAGAGGAGAATGGAGAAGGGATTGCAGTGTGGCCAACCCCCTCGGGGGGTGAGTTCTTGCTTTCTGTCTCTCTATGTCTGTCTCTCTGGCAAGGGCATATACCCTATAGCAAAAATCTCTCTTAGAAAAGAAAAGAAAAAAGTTTAACCTCAGACACATCCGATCTTTTTACTTAGATATGTGCAGTTCATTTGTTAGGGTTGAATGTTTGTTGCAGTTTGTCTTTAATGGCCAGAACGAGTTCATGGATATCTGTGAAAAATATTTTTCTATCTATGATTATGATCACTCTAAGTTTGCTTTTGTTGTTTTATTGGCCAACTATATTTGTTATAAAATCTTAATTACAGATGAAGACAGTAAACCGTAGAAGTTAGGGCCCTGTCATGAATGGAAATTCTCTCTCATTACTCTCTCCAAACCGAGAGCCTCAGTTTTCTTGTGTGGATAATGAGGAGAACTACAGTGTCTGCTCAAAGAATAATTGTAAGGATGATAATGTGTGGAAAGTTTATAGACCAGTGGTCGTAAATGCTCAAAAATTACGGCTACTGTTACCATTGTTGTTGTTTTTATTATCATTTATTTCTTAACAACATCTTGGCTCAATCTTGAAATGCTCCTTAGATTTCCCTTGAGCAGAAATTTGCTCTTATATGTAGGACCATTTTGTTTCTTTCTTTTTTCTTTCTTTTTTTTCTTGTCTTTCTTAATTTGCCAGAGGTCACGTGCACTCACCAGAGAGCAAGGAAGGGGAAAGAGCATATGGCACCCTCATGCTGCAACCCCTTCTCCGTGTTTCCATCTGTCAGATTGGGGCTTTGCACACATGCACGTGCACACGCATACCTTGCATGTTATACATGCATGTTTGGCATGTTTTTTGACTTCTCTGGCTGGGACTTGAATTGCGTAGGTGCTCATGTGTGATTTAGCTTTCTTAACCATTAGGCCACGGGGCATTTTCTGTTAAGCTGCTTAATATATTCATGAAAGGTATGTTATTCTGGGCTGGCATCTGATCTCCAATTTGACAGATGTGAAGAACAGTCTGTAACATGAAGTTTCCCACATGACTCTGCCACATACAAAGGACTGCAGGCTTCTCTGCTTTGACAACACGCGGTTCCTGGGGTCAGTTGCTGAGTTTGCAAGCCCTGAGGTAGTGTACCTGCCACTATTCCAACGACAGGGATGAGCACTGCGAACACCAGGAGGTAGAGGACAATCAGTGCGGTCTTGAAGGACTTCAGCTTCTCTTGAAGGTCAGGGCCATTTTTAGGATCTAAAAAAAAAAAAAGTCCAACCTACCATTAGAAAACATTCCTTCTTAACTAAAATCGCAGTCATCTCTGGTGAACAATCACAAATTCTGTACATTTTACATTTCAAATAGTTCTCAAAATTTCTGCTGCCTTTTCTTAACACCAGTACCTCTGTCCTCCCTCACCAGCTCACCCAGTCTGTCATCATGGCTGTCTAAAACCGCTTTAAAATCCACAAAAATAAAATGTTTTACAAAGGGCACAAGTGCTTGCTAGTGTGAGGTGGAGGGAGAAAGAGAGAAAAAGTGAGGAAGCACTCCAGGTGGAGGATAGTAACTCCTCAATTCCTTCTCCTCCACCTTGTGGGATTTGGGGCATGTGACACACATGTGCCCAACATATTTCTCAAGCCCCCAGTCTAGGACTTAACCATTCATTCAACCAAGTGGGATCCACTGCCTTAATGCCCAGGCCAAGGGCCGGCCTTGTAAGAGCCTTTACTTTCATGTTTTCACGTTTCACTGGCCTCCTATCCTCCCCTCCATCCCTTGCCGAGTTCACACGCCGCACCACGTCCCGGGCTGTGGTCCACATTCCAGCCTTGCCTGTGTCCGATATCTATGTATGATCCTTCCACTTTGCACCCGCTGCTTCCTCTGCCTATGGTGTCCTCTGTCTCCTCCCTCTCCCCCAGGTGGTGATCGATAATTGTTCCTCAAAGCTCGGCGGAAGTACAGATAGTTCTGTCCTGCCCCTTAAACAAGCCTGTCCACATACAACTGAACATTGCTTCTTTCGAGCTCTTTTCTAACCAGCACAAACATCTGTTTCAGCAGTTTGGGGTGGAATTTTGTACCCTCCAAGGACATACGCTCAAGTTATATTACCAGGTACTTATGAAGGTGACCGTAGTTGGTCTTTGCAGATGGAATCAAATTTTAGTAGAGTGAATTGATTAGCATGAGCCCTAATCCAATGAGTGGTGCCTTTATAAGAAGAGAAAAGAAACATAGTTATACAGGAAAGAAAAGACCAGTGAGTAAGGAGGCAAAGATTGAAGATGCAGCCACAAGCCTAGGAATCACTCTAAGAATCACTCGGAGCCAGCAGGAGCTGGTGGAGACAGGTAGTGTCCTTCCTTAGAGCCTTCCAAAGAGCTCACGGCCCTCCCAACACCTTGATTCCAAACTCCTGGACTTAATGGCAAGAAAACATTTTCTGTTGTTTTAAGCCACCCAGCTAATGAAAATTTGTTATAGCACTCCTAGAAAACTAAAAGAAGTGGGGCCAGCAGGTGGCGTGGTGGCCAGGAGGCTGGACTTGCACACGGCTGACCGCGAGTCGTGTCCTGGACCTGGTGACTCAATTTCTCACTTTCCCTCTCTCTCTATCTCTCTGTCTCTCCTTACACACATCTTATAGCAATCTTACAAAAGATCATAATAAATAAAATAAAAATAAATAAATAATTTAAAAAAAAGAAAACATGGGGCCAACAGTGGCATGCAGTTTAAGGGCACTGGACTTCCACATGGTTGACTGTGGTTCAAGTCCTGGACCTGGTGGCTTGCTTTCTCACTCTCCCCCTCTCTTGCTTACTCTGTCCCTCTTTGGTCAAATTAAAAGAAAGAAAGGGATCAGCAGTTAGCGTAATGGCTATGTCGCTGGACTGCCACGTAGTCGACCGTGGTTCACGTCCCGAACCTGGTGGCTTAAAATTCACACCGGGCGCATGTGCATGCGTGCCCAAGATCCTGAGAGGAGAATGGAGGAGAAGGGATTGTGGCATGGCCATCCCCCAGGGGGGTGATTTAAAAAAAAAAAAAAGAAATAAAAGGAGAAGAAAGAAAGAGAAAAATAAAGGAGAAAGAAAGAGAAAAAGAAAGAAAGAGAAAGAGACAAAGAGAGAAAAAAAGATAGTTCTTTTTTTAAAAGAAAAAGAAAAGGGGACCAGCAGTTGGCGTGATAACTATGTCGCTGAACTTCCATATAGTTGACTGCGGTTCAAGTCCTGGACCCGGTGGCCGAAACTCACACTGGGTGTGTGTGTGCGTGCCCAAGATCCTGAGAGGAAATGGAGGAGAAGGGATTGCAGCCTGGCCATCCCCCCTGGGAGGGTGATTTCTCGCTTTCTGTCTCTCTGTCTCTCTCTGTCTCTCTGGCAAGCACACTCACCCTATAGCAAAAACCTCTAGAAAAAAAAAAAAGAAAGAAAATAAAGGAAAACTAATGCAGTACCCATTCCCCACGATTTTCAAATATTCATTCACAGTGGGTGCCGGGATCACAGTCATCTCCAGGGCCTACTGCTGTGGTTGGAAACCAGAGAACTCAGTCAATATTGTGGACTAATTTAATTTCATATAATGCTTCCTCTTACTTCAATTTAAACATAATTTCTATTCTGTCTTAAGAGAGGGGGCTAAGTGGTGACATACGGGGAACAGAACCCCATGCAGGTCCTGGGTTCATTTCTAGGGACCTCCCTGTGGCACTGGGCTCACTTGTCCATGATCCAGCTGAGACTAGGATGGGTTGTGGCATGAGATTCCTGTTGGAGATGCTTGTGTCTGTCTCTTCTCTCTTTTGTCTCTGTCTCTCTCTCTCTTATGGAAGAGACAAGAAACTAGACCTGAAAAAAAGAGTATGGACCAGCAAGTGGAGTGGAGGTTAAAGTAACTGTATCCCACACAACCAACTGAGCAGGTTGGGTCTTGGACCCGGTGGCTTGAAAATCATGACAAGGGCGTGTGCTTGCATGTACAAAATTCTAAGATGAGAATTGGAGAAGGGATTGTGGCAGGGCCATCCCCCAGGGTGATTTTTTTACTTTTTTATTCTCTCTCTCTGTCTCTCTCTGATAAATACATGTGTCCTATAGAAAAAACTAAAATAAATAAATAAATAAAAATAAATTTTAAAAAAGAGAAAGAGGAGTAGACCCACTTATCAGTAAGTATTATTTTGACAGTGGCACACATTTTAGGTAAGTCACAAGATTACAATTTGACATATTATCAATTACTCTAAGGCAACCCCCAGGCCACCCCCTTTCCCCTTCTACTTACTCAGAGGAAGCAAAGTTGTCATTGAGCGAGCATCGAACCTCACAGATTCCAAGTAGCTGTCAGTGTCCTCCTGGGGATCGGGACTGTCCCACTGCTCCATACCCCTGTTACATAATGGGAACACATTACTCCACACGGCGGGGCCAGGGCCTCCTCTGTACTATTTCAAATTGCAATTTAAAATGAAAGTTTAATTTTGACAAGGAAAAAGCTATAATTCGTTAAATGTATGTATCTGTCATATTTTACAATATATCAAGCTTACCCATACATTTTTATTTGAAAACAGATTTATATGGAAACTATTGATGCATCTTTCTATGTACAATGCGTTTGTAGCATTTTTTTGAATGCAAACAGAAAAGTGGCTTTTCTTTTTTAGGTGAAAAAAAAAATTCCAAATGATAGAAAATAACTGGTTGGCCAAAGAGAGGAAAAAAAAAATATATTTCCTGTAGAACAAATAGTTACATGCATTTGGAACAAATATTTCCTGTGATCCTTTATCAGAGATTCTGGAAGGAATATTTTAAGCAGCTTTATAAGTTAGTTTTTTTGTTGCCAAGGCTTCTGGCTATCAATTTAGAAAAAGAGTCACAAAATTTGGAACCCCAGGAAAAAACTTAACTTTTCTAATTTTACTTTTCTCCCTTTTTACTTTCTTCCCTTTTTCTTTTCTTCTAGCTTGCCCTCTCCCTTTCTCCTTTTCTTTCTAAAGTTTATCTGTTTTCTCCTTGAAAGAAGAAAAGAGAGGTGGGGAAAGAGGGCGACTGGCAGCCCTAATAGGCCCTTGGGCCTCAGTTCTTCCTTTGGCCTCAGCCGGCCAGGAGCCAGCGTGTACAGGGAGACCTTGGGACAAAAGCTCTACCTCTCACAGCTCTTTGCCTTGTGGGGTACTGTATGTGGAGTACTGTATGAGAAGTACTGTATGTGGGGTACTGTATGAAGGGTACTGTATGTGGGGTACTGTATGAGAGGTATTGTAGGAGGGGTACTGTATGCAAGGTACCATACATGGGATACTGTATGTGGGGTACTGTATGAGGGGTACTGTATATGGGGTACTATATGAGGGGTACTGTATGTGGGGTACTGTATGAGAGGTATTGTAGGAGGGGTACTGTATGCAAGGTACCATACATGGGATACTGTATGTGGGGTACTGTATGAGGGGTACTGTATATGGGGTACTATATGAGGGGTACTGTATGTGGGGTACTGTATGAGAGGTATTGTAGGAGGGGTACTGTATGCGAGGTACTGTACATGGGATACTGTCTGTGGGGTACTGTATATGGGGTACTATATGAGGGGTACTGTATGTGGGGTACTGTATGAGAGGTATTGTAGGAGGGGTACTGTATGCGAGGTACTGTACATGGGATACTGTCTGTGGGGTACTGTATATGGGGTACTATATGAGGGGTACTGTATGTGGGGTACTGTATGAGAGGTACTGTAGGAGGGGTACTATATGTGGGGTACTGTAGGAGGGGTACTGTATGAGGACTACGCCTATTTCTCGTTTTTCCCCTGTTTTTCTCATTATACCTTGGCAGCAGCACCAACATGCCCTGGTTCCTGTTGAAGCACAATCTATACTCCATGACACCATCTAGGCCTATGCCTCTTTAATATGGATCAGAGTCATTTGAAAGGTTTGACAAAAAAGATATGGGTGGACCTCACCCCCAGAATTTCTGATACCTGGGGTTGGAGGAGGGGGTGTCAAGAATTTGCAATTGCAAGTGCTCAAGAGATTGCTTTGCTCCTGGTCTGAGGACCACATTGAGAGAATGATTTCCATGAAAAGAAAGGGTATGACACTCCTGTTGACATAGTTTGGTTCCTTTGAGGGATACATTTAGCATAAAGTCACCTCTCTTACTTCCCTCAGGCTGACTTAGGGAAGCAGCACCATGCCCTGCCACCTGGTCCCTTGCAGCTGGAGGCACAGACTCAAGCCCAGCAAAGGCAGGGCAATCGCTCCCATGCAAACGTCCACCCCACTTAGGGGAGGCGCAATGGCACTGAGGATGTGACTCAACCCCTGTCCATGTATTTTAAAAAATATTACCAAGGAGGGACTAGCAGTTAGCATAACAGCTATGTTGCTCAACTCCCACATAGTCGACCGTGGTTCAAGTCCCGGACCCAGTGGCTTCAACTCACACTGGGCGCATGCATGCCCAAGATCCCAAGAGGAGCATGGAGAAGGGATTGCTGTGTGGCCATCCCCCTGGAAGGTGATTTCTTTCTTTCTGTCTCTCTGTCTCTTTCTGTCTGTCTGGCAAGCACAGGTGTCTTGTAGCAAAAACCTCTCCAAAAAAAAAAAAAAAAAAAAAAAAAAAGAAAAAAGCCTTAACGATGGG